TAGTGCTGATCAACTGCGAATCCAAACGTTGTGCGCTGTAGACAGTCAACAGATGCTGTTGAAAACTATAGAGGGAAAGCACGGGAATCTGAGCTACTTCCTGATCCTTTCTCCTGCGGTCGGTATTACCCATGCATCTGAAGCTTCGGTCGACGAGCCTTGAGCCTTGACTCGAGCCTCAGAGCCTGTTCATTGGGCCATGTCTCAGTTGGAAAGTCCTCTTCAGTGTTTGTATCATCCCTTTTCACTTTCCATGCTATCACGAGGCGGTCACTTGTTTTCCCGCCCGTTATTAGCTCCAATCGCCTTGCACTGGTCTAGGGGTATATCCCAACCGACAGTAGCAGCGATAGAGGCCTCACAGGGCTCTCTGATAGATCAATGGGCGGTGGAGGGGAACACACCCGAGCAGTCCCTTAAAGATTTCGTGAGTTGTTCTCGATTCGCTCAGTGTGGGAAAATATGCACATGGTCAGCTACATTTGTTGGTAACAGTATGAAAACTCTGAAGAAATTTTGGGCAATCCTGACTGGTTTTTATATACTCAAAAGCTTTTGTAATCAGTGAGGAAACTCCTGAGTTCATGTGAAAGAAGCGAACATATATTACGACACTGGAACTGCCTTGTGAGACTTGCAGCGCTAAGGCATCAGGTATTCTCGGGGCTTGCCAAGAGGCAAATAGAAAGCCTGTGCCCGAAGGAGTTCTCCCCGCAAAAACAGTAGGATTGTTCACAACATAGTACGATGGAGCCGTCCCTTGTGATAGATACTTTAACGAGTACTTGCCAGAAGGCAGCAAATTAGCACTGAAGGCATTGGTAATGTTAGGGAGCATCGGGAGAGATTTGCTCATGGTGTGGTAGGCCAAGGAGGTGGTGTCAGAAGGGCTGGCCGATCCACGATATGCTGAGACGATAGAAGAGTCTCTACTGGAGGCGATCAACGAAGGGAAAAGAAGAAGGAAGGTAGAGAAATCAGCTGTCTCTATCAGTGATGGTGATCACATAGTGGTCACGTGATGATTGCATTTGAGCTTTTCCGACTTTCTGCAGTGATAATGAGACACCGCGTGGCGAGGCATTGATCAGAGCTTCGTGGGAGTTGTTCGCGTTTGGTCAGGATTCTGCTGTTTTTTCTAGGCATCTGGTCACGAACTAGAGGTGGAGATCTTGGACATCCCCAAGGTGCATATACAGCGCGTGAATCTCGTGGTGGGAGGCTCTAGACGACTCAACAAGGACTTCTTCAAAGGGAAGTAGGTGGGGGTTGGCAGGGGGCGCATCGTTTGTACTGGTCTTGACTCCTCGTTACACTGTCGTCTTAGTCGGGAAATTGTGATGATGATATGTATCTCTGAATGTCTGAGATCAGTGCCATGTAACGATACCGGCCTTTCAGGATGCTGGTCAATCCTGTGTTGATGCCGCAGCTCTACGTAGTCCTGTCGGAGGATCAGCTTGAGCGGAGTGGTGGGCAATTCTCGTGAGTTGATGATGCAATCTACCTTGTAATAAGGATTTCCCTCAGGCCCTTCATGGACATCTTCAATACTACAGTCGGCTCGGGCGCGGCCGTGATCGTCGATGCTCGGGTGAGTAGCTTCTTCTTAACCGCTTCGACTGTGGGAGTATACCCTCCATCAGATGGAATGCCAACAGCGCTACTCTGCTCGTATAGTGGGGGCTGAGGAGACGGAGAGCTCAGGCGTGGAAACCGCTGTACACGAGTTGAGAATGGAAATGACTTTGCATCGTGAGACAACTGATAGTGGTTGTACAATGGAGTCTCCTGTTAGCGATACCGGGCAGTGGTGCATATCCGGTGGACGGCCGCTTCAGTGGAGGGCATTGGCAGGTTACTGACTTCAACCGGGTTCTGAATGTAATCTCGCATATACACATTCCACCACATGGGACGGGTGCGGTTGAAGTCTGAGAGGATTAGTCGTTACGTCCTAGATGATAGCAGTCCTGGTTAGAGGTGTACTATGGTGTTTAGGGCAACTTCCCCATCCCTCTACCGCTCTTCAATCGAGAGTCCTTCGACAGCGGCACGTACAAGACCCCGAGTGCTAGCGGTGGGAGTCGACAACAGAGCGCCACTAAGATTGCTGATTGGCCTACACATGATGAGGGTAGCAACAGCAACAAACGATGAGGTGTAGGTCCTCGAAGCTGTTCCTTAGTACTACCGTTTCATTACTAACAATGGGGTTGCTGTTGATGCTCTCAATCGATTCAAGTGAGTAATTCGGCACGGTGGTTTCGAGAACTTGTCAGAAGTTCTGACTCAGAACTTGTTGCTATTGTCATCATCACAGTGTCATGCGCCATATACATCACGTATTGGATGAATAGGGGGGGGCCGCTATGCCTGCGTACTATACCGTTAAGGGCTGTATTGGATGACGAGGGGGGCCGCTATGCCTGCGTACTATACCGTTAAGGGCTGTATTAGATGAATAGGGGGGCCGCTATGCCTGCGTACTATACCAATAAGGGCTGTATTAGATGAATAGGGGGGCCGCTATGCCTGCGTACTATACCAATAAGGGCTGTATTAGATGAATAGGGGGGCCGCTATGCCTGCGTACTATACCAATAAGGGCTGTATTAGATGAATAGGGGGGCCGCTATGCCTGCGTACTATACCGTTAAGGGATGTATTGGATGAATAGGGGGGCCGCTATGCCTGCGTACTATACCGTTAAGGGATGTATTGGATGAATAGGGGGGCCGCTATGCCTGCGTACTATACCGTTAAGGGATGTATTAGATGAATAGGGGGGCCGCTATGCCTGCGTACTATACCGTTAAGGGATGTATTAGATGAATAGGGTGGCCGCTATGCCTGCGTACTATACCGTTAAGGGATGTATTAGATGAATAGGGGGGCCGCTATGCCTGCGTACTATACCGTTAAGGGATGTATTAGATGAATAGGGTGGCCGCTATGCCTGCGTACTCTTCGAGCCTGCCTGTAGTATCGCAGTGCGGCTCTTGGTGAGACACAATCCGTGTCGTAATATCAGCCCTTCATTTATGAGGAGAATTACATAAACTTGGGATAAGCACATGGGAAAAGTAATGAAAGGATTCGAAAAGTAAGGAGCGCGACAAGGGAATTACCTTCTAACAGTCCGAATCCGCTGGAAGCGGGGATGATGGTGAGGCTCTCACCCAGGTGAGAACGGGGAGGATAGGATTGCTGCAATTATTCGGGTGATGAGTGTAATGCAAATGAAATCTCACAACAAGCTGTCAAGAAAAAACAAAGAACCGCAGCTGAAACGACGAACCCGGACTGTTATCCAAGGTCAAGTTGCTATTAGGTAGAAGGGATGGGCAAGCGAGAAAGCTCTTCGAAGATGAAGCGTTTCCTTCCGGATAGTGGGAGTCCCACTATCGGGAAGGAAATAGTGTCTGATATGTCGGAAGTACGAGTAGTAAAGAATACGAGATGTTCTGATTCGATACCTGCAATGGAACTATCTGAACTCGTCCAGCTCAGAGAGTTCCATTGCCCACTGTGGGACCAAGGAACTATCCGACTCGGATGGATCCTTCCTTTCCTCGGAAAACTCGAGTTTTCCTTGCAAATCTGTATCTTCCTTAGGAATCTGCTCAAAATTCCGAACGAGGATCCTCCCT